GTTTGTGTAACATTTTATAAGAAAGTATAGTTTCATCCAGATGATATTATTTGTTTGAGAGATATGCGTAGCAGGTACAGAATCGTCAGGAATTGTTTAAATGGACAAAATGCCTCATGAGCTTGTTTTTAGACAATCTTTCATTGCACTTGCGTGTGTCTTCGTCAGTCCCCTAGTTCTATTCGATTATCACGGTTGATGTATAGGTAAGCACGGTCCTGAAGGAGGGCTCCGTTTACATGCATTTGCGTGTATCTTCTTCATGTCTGTAGTTTTATATATATATTATCAGGGCTGATGTGTACGCAAGCACGGTCCTGGGGGATAGCTTCGTTTATATTCAGTTGCGTGTATCTTATCAAATCTCAAATGCATCGAATCGTGATCTAAAAACAATCTCTTTAGGCAAACTTATCAAATCAACAATTCCTAAAATCGTTGTCTTTTAACAAGGTCGCATGAATACAAAAATATAATTCCGAAAACATCACAGAACATCTACATAGGTAGCCCACCAATAAGTAAATAGTCGTCTACTCCAGAAAGAATGCCATTTTATCAAATAAACAACTAGTCCAAGATTACAATTAATATCTAGTGGATCTACAGTATATAAGAACGAAAAACAACTACATTCCGTACTTACAATATCTGAGGTTGAAGGATTGTACCCTCTTTAACGAGCTATACGTCGGGCTATTTGCATTTGACGTCAAGGTGATGGCTGATTTGTTTTCTTTGGTGTACGTGTTTACTTAATGACAGAGAGACTGTATACACACTCAGTAGCTTTTATTTGGTTAGCTAGACTGTAATTAGACTCTTTATTACTTGGTCCTTAATTAGCTAATAAGGATCTTTCTCTGACGTAGAAAGTTATAAAAATATTACGAGATGTTGAAAACCTTATAGCTCCACGGTCAGTGGAGTTGTAACGTTTCTAATATGCACTTTATACGTCATATGAAGGTATTTACATATAACTTGATGTTTCTCTTACTGCTTCGTGTAATTTAAAATTATGGTATATATACATATAGAACACTGAGAACATTATAGAACATCTATATATACAGCCTACATATAAGTGAATAAGCGCCCACTTACGCCAGAAAAACTGCCGTATACAGAGCATGGGTTAAATATTAACAGAGTGGATGTGCCAAAGGTAAAATGTAACTAAGCTGATTGTATTTTTTTCTTAGGTGGTTCGAATGCTCGTTGCTGTAGCTTTAGTCTTTGCCATCTGCTGGCTACCGTACCACGTGTATTTCATCTACGCTTATCACCATCCGAAAATTCTTAAAACTGACTACATCCAGCATGTTTACCTGGCTTTCTACTGGTTAGCCATGTCCAACTCAACGTATAACCCCATCGTGTATTACTGCATGAATAACAGGTATGAAATACAAGATTATATGTTTTTGAAGTTATATGTTGTGCAGGTGTGAAACCTCTGTAAATGAGAAGTACTAATATCTTTTTTTTCGTCAAAGTGACCATAATTAGAAGAATCTTTAACAAAACCAACGTGCCAACGAATTAACGTTTTGTTACAATTAAACGTGTAGATAGTTTTTGTGAGCGTAATATCCTGACTCAATAATGATTGGTAGAAACTTGCGATATTTATTTTGACTTTGACTCATGACATGAGATACTGGCCGTAAAGTATTAATGAAGTAAAAATCACTAAAAACTTATTTATTGGGAAGGTGTATTTCACAATTTAATATACTGAACACGCTATAAAAAACGTTTGAAATCATAGTTAGGAGTGTGAAGCATGATTCAGGAAATGCACGCAAACATTGTCTACCAGTGCGTTTCATATAGATTTGGTGCATACATTGTTCAGAGAAGTGTTTATCTTCTTACCAACTTCTGAGATCATTTACTCATCATGCCTTGTGTTCTTAGAGTGTACATATAGATTGTATTTGGTTAATTAGACTCTAATCAAACTGTCTTATTACTTGTCCCTTAAGTAGCTAACTTACATCTGTACTTTGCCCGGCATGGTTAGGGCATTCGAGTCGCAATCTAAGGGTCGAGGGTTCGAATCCCCGTCCCACCCAACATGCTTGCCCTTTCAGCCATTGGTAAAAGAGTTGGCGATGAGTGGTGATATATAAAATACATTAAATATCTCGTTGATATACGAACCTAATTCAATTCATATACGTTATCATAAAGGAAATCGAGCAGCGAAAGAAATGTCAAATTATTTCCAATACCTTTTAGTGATGCTGGTAGTGTATACTAGAAATGTTAAAATTCCACTGATACAAATTAGCTACTTAAATATTCTGTGGTATTGTTACAATTTTCAAAGACATGTATAGCTGTATTGGTTTGTTTTGAATTTCGCGCAAAGCTACACGAGGGCTATATGCGCTAGCTGTCCCTAATTTAGCAGTGTAAGACTACAGGGAAGGCAGCTAGTCACTCGTGTGGGTTGTTTGGGAGTCATACACGAATAAAATTCAAAACACATATCATAAAGATGGAGTGCCATTACATGGCATAGAGATTTAGTTGTCAATTAACCTTAACTTCTTGCGCATGAGTATTTTGACGTTTACTTTGTTTAAAAAAATTATATACTTATACATCTTCACACTTCCTTTAACAACATTCTCTTAGGCTGGATAAAGTTATTTCATTATTTGAGTAAAATGCGATTTTCCTTATCTAGTCTCAGTGTTTTTAGACTGTCGTCCAAGGTTATATTATGATGTTAATACAGATTATGGTTTATTACGGGAGCTTTAATAATAACTTGAAGGTTAAGTGCTACTCATCATCTTCTGCCTGTCCTTGATAATCTATTTAATTAAGGTGGTCCTATCTTGTACATGTTTATAATGTTTTTGGAACATAATATCTATCACAAAAATCTTCATAAAGTAAAACATATATAATTCAGATGTGAAATATTGTTGATGGAAAACATATATGCTTGCATCAAATTTGACATTTTTGACACACTTGAAGCTTGCGAATAAAATATAAAGGTTGACATATAAAATGTACTCCACCTAAAAGTTTAAGCCTGATATATTCCTTTGCGGAAAAGACTTTTACAGATACCTCTCCATTGTCATTCAATTAACTCAAATGCACATAAGTACGTGCAGTATGAACAATACGGTTTCTTTTTTAGGTATAAAATTAAATTCAATAAAAAAACAACTTTAACTGAAAATATACCACATCGATTCTTAAATTGCCACCAGTGCTATAACATGCATCACAAGGAGAAAATAGATCTTACAGGACAGAAGATTGGAAGTTGAAGGGAAAGTCTCACAGTGTGGAATACTTAGCTCTAGTACCGTATACGTCATAGGTCAAGCTGCAATAGTAGAGGATATTTATTGACCTATTCACTTTATAAAGTGTCTTTTACGTCACAGGTCAAGCTGCAATAGAAGAGAATATTTATTAACCTATCTACTTTATAAATTGTCTTTGTGTTGTTTTTATAATAGAAAACTATAAACAGTATCGCACTTGCAATTAGTCGTCTTATTGTTATTTTTAGCGCGACTGAGCGGCTCATAGAAAGGCTCTGAGTTTTTGTTGTTGTTTTTTCGAATACAACCTTTTAGCTCATAACTCCCTCATCTTTTGATCGATTTCAGATATAATTACAGTTTTGGACTCAGGAAGTCAAACCCTCTAGATTGATATATTTGAACACGCCCAAGGTTTCATCGATTAACTTATTCTAATCCTGCCTAAAATAATTTTAATTTGAGGATACGCTGATAGAGATCCTGATGAGTAGTAAACTATAATCGGGTATGCGCGCGCCCCATGCTTGGTATTGCTGGCACATAAAAATATAGCTAATAAAAAGAGAAACAAAGGTCTCATAGATTAATTTACTCTAATTCTGCCTAAAAGAATTTCAAGTGCGCGGCTATTGTAGATTTCCTCTTGTTTTTACATTTCAATTTCTTCTTTGTGCCTTAATCAAAGGCTTCAGTTCTGAAAAATAATTATTCTGAATATAATGGATTTTCTTTTTTACACTTACTAAAAACATTAGTACTATGCACCTTTAAATGTATAGAAACATTTTGAATGATAGTAAATAACATGACGTACTTTTATATATACTAGCAAAATCATTCGGCTTCTCTCGGGTTATTAGGTTGATTTATTTTAGATGACTATGTCAGTGTGTATATTCTGAACCCATTTTAGCATAAAAGTATAACCCATATACTTTTCTTGCTATGCAATATGACATAAAAGCCATAATTGGAACGCATTATTGGCTTTTTTACACATTAGAAATTGTTATATAAAGAATAACTTCTTTGCTATGTGGTTTTTCGCTAGCTTGCCTCATTAAAAACTCTCGCACGCGCGCACGCACGTGGATAAGATGAGTAATAATACCCAGATGCACACCCTCAGGATCCACTTAGTAGGGGTTCAAAATTTCAGGTGTCTAGGTTATTTTCCCTTGGAGATATGGCTCATTAAAAAATGCGCATGCGTACACGCACGTAGATAAAATGAGTAATAATACCCAGGTGCAAACCTTCAGGATGCACTTAGTATAGGTGCAAAATTTCACGTTTCTATGTTCTTTCATCTTGGAGCTATGGCAGTCATATTTATCTTCTATGTGGTTTTTCGCATAAAAAGATGCGTACGCGCATGCGCGCACGTACATACATAGGTAATAATACCCAGGTGCACACTCTCAGGGTCCGCTTAGTACGGGTGCAAAATTTCAGGTTTCTAGATTCTTTCGTCTTGGAAGTATGGTGGTCACATATTCTTTTCTATGTAGTTTATCGCTAGCTTGCCTCATTAAAAGGTTATGCACGCGCATGCGCTTGGAGAAGATAAGTAATACCTAGGTGCACACCCTCAGTATGTGTGCAAAATTTCAGGGGTATAGGTTATTTCTCTTTGGAAGTATGGCAGTCACACTTCTTTTCTACGTGGTTTTTTCGCTAGCTTGCCTCATTAAAAATATGCGCAAGCGCATGCGTACACGCACATAGATAAGTAATAATACCCAGATGCACACCCTCAGGATCCACTTAGTATGAGTGCAAAATTTCAGGTTTCTAGGTTCTTTCCTGTTGGAGTTATAGCGGTCACACACACACACAGGCACGCCCATATATTATCATTATCATATATAAACATATGCTATATAATTTATTTACAAGATTAATTTTTATGGCTTTTTATATTGTAAGGTTTTTATAAACAAATCACCAACTGCTGCTTACTTTTATGTTCTGTTTTCCTTTCGTTAGCTAATGAACAAGTCGGAAACTTTACTGTTCATTTGCTGAAATATTTAACATTTTGACCTATTAGAATATATTTTTTAAATCTTTTTTTAGAAAATATGGTAATTTCTAATATCTGAATTAATAGTATAATTAAATATATAAGTTATAAAATAAATAGATAGATAATTCATGATTTACGTTTTCTACTTTTACTAACAAAACAAATAAGTTGTGGTATCGAGAAGATGGTAGAGTTAACAACTCTAAACAAATGACATAATGATTATGCATATAGCTAACTGACAGCAAATCAGCTAAAAGAAAGATGTTTTAAAAATATAATAAGAAACCCAGAGTTGTGTCTTAATTATCGCTAGTGTCGGGTACCTGTTAAGGATGCAAAAATTGTATAAAGGACAATGTTAAGTAGTGTTTACTGCCCTTCTCTCTATTATTATTAAATCATTATTGGCCTCAGATACTAATTGCATACCCTGTTTTGTGCAAGATAATAACTGACTCATTTAACTGATTAAATATTTGTGTCTTTAAATTCAAAGCCAAAAGTCTAAAACAATAGTGGAAATGCCCCATTTCAGGATGTCTTTTATCCCCCTTCCCAGGCAAAATACCTAAAGAATGGCTATTGTATACAATCGGACAGTTTCCAATTACCATACAAATAATTATGGTAATCTGTAAAAAAAAAAAATGAAAATGTGCCCTATTTCATTAGCTTTTTTATTTCCTTCTCTGGCAAAAGTCCTGAATCAAAATAGCCATCATATACCGTCGGACAGATTCCAGTTATCATATAAAATATTACGGTCATCGAGCCAGCCACCTATGGTTGATGGATGCTGACGCACACTCATATACACACATAATGGATCACCTTTATAATAAGATACCAGTTTGTCCTTTATGTACGATTAAACAAACAGAATGAAATACGAATTTTTTTGGATATGCATGTGACTTTTAATTATAAAGTGTAATATTTAACTTGCATATAGCTTCTCACGTTTATTTTGCAAACACTTGCTTCTGCGTCCATGAAAATTCAACATAAATGCTGTACAGCGATTAATTCTATGAAAAATAGCTACACTAGTCAGACACAATAAAC